CTCTCGATATGGTGATGCCATCATCACTGTACATAGAATCAATCAGGAAAGTGCTATTTTCAACTTTCAGTCCTTCATTCGAGTCTGGCACTGTTTGCAGGAGCAATGAGAAGATGCTTTTTTCAATCTTTTTTTTTTTTGTACTGGGGAGAACACTCAGGACCTTATGCTTGCCAGGCAGGTGCTGTGGTGCTGAGCTACATCCCTAGCCCACATATATAATTTTAATAGGACTGGGGAGAGAACTCAGGACCTTATGCTTGCCAGGCAGGTGCTGTGGTGCTGAGCTACATCCCTAGCCCACATATATAATTTTAATAGGATTCCAATGCAGAATAAGATCAATATTTCTTTAGCCTAAGAATGAGCCCATTTTTTAAAATGGTTATGACTAGAAGTTTGTCCAATATTTGGATACTTTCTTTTTGCCGTTGCACTTTGGAAGCCCCTTTGAAAAAGTGTATCTTAGAAGAATGTTAGTCAACTATAGTGGCCATTCTTTTAATTTATGAAGGAAAAGTTATTCTTTCTAAATATACTTTATATTTTGGCCTGGGAAACTATTTCGCTCCAGGTATGCAATAAGAATACTAAAATTAAAAAAAAAAAAGAATACTAAAATTTTTAGAAAGGATGAATAAGCATTGATAGCAAGTGTTTTGATTAACATCAAATTTTGACTTACATCAAAATCTGACCTTAAAAATATTTCAAATATCTATTTTTAAGTCATAAATATGTACATTTATAATATGCATCTCTTTTAAGAAATGTAACTGTTATGGTAGAAGTGAATTGTGTGTTCAAATTATAAATATCATATATTTGTTTATTCACAAATACAGTTGTTATATTAGAGGTTATTATATTAGAGGCTTTTAAGGTGAACATAGGTGTTCTAAGTATACAAATAGGTCACTTTAAAGGCTTGGTTTTTTTTGTTTGTTTGTTTTTTGCTTTTGGTACTGGGGATTGAACTGGGGACCTTGCTCTTTCAAGGCAGGTGCCAGAACCACTGAGCTAAATCCTTTTCATTATAATGTGGGGGTGTTTTTGGTGTACTAGGGATCGAACTCAGGACCTTGTGCTTGCGAAGCAAGCAGTAGAACCACTGAGCCACATCCCCGGCCCCATAATGTGTTTTTCAAATTGTTTGCTAGAAGGCTGAGGATGTAGCTCAGCAGCACAGTGCCTGCCTGGCAAGCACGAGGCCCTGAGTTTGATTTCCAGTACCAAAAAACAAAATTGTTTGCTAGATACTTGTACACATCCTGATGGGGTCTAACAGGGTTGTGGCTTTCTTAATTTAAGCCTGCATTGTATATGTAGTAGGCACCAGCCACGTTGAGCACTAGAAATGGTAACCTGGGTTATCATGTGCTATAAATTCAAAATACACACTGGAGTTCAGAATCTTAGTTTTAAAAGTAAGGTGTTTCTGTATTCTTAAAATATTGATAATATGTTAAAATGATATTTTGGCTAGATTAGGTTAAAACATGCAGTTAAAATTAGGTCTACCTCTTTTACTTTTTTTCAGTGTGGCTGTTAGAAAATTTTACATTATATATGTGGCCTACATTTCTAAGTTGCACATTTCTATTGTACAGCACTGTCTAGATTACAAGTAATACAATCTTTTTTTTTTGGTACCGGAGATCGAACTCAGAACCTTGCGCTTTTGAGGCAGGTGGCAGACCACTGAGTTAAATCCCTGGCCCACAAGTAATACAGTCTTGAATAAGTGTATACTTAGGGGTAAATGAGCAAAATGAAAATGATTAATTCTTTTGCAGTGAGTTCCACAGTAGAAATCATTATAATGCAAGCCCTTTGCTGGGTTCATGATGACTTGAATCAAGTAGATGTTGGCAGCTATGTCCTGAAAGTTTGTGGTCAAGAGGAGGTGCTGCAGAAGTAAGTTTATTTAACTACTTATCATTGTCTTTAGGAATTTCATTTTTAATGGCTTAAATTTGAGATTTTTAATTTAAAGTTGTATTCCAAAAATACATTGAGTTGATTCATTGAATCATGCTTGTATTGAGATATAGTATATTTTAAGATGTCTGATCTGGTCTTAGTGTGGGATTTCACAAGAAAGTAAAACATGATATTACCTTAAAAGCTTACAGTCTTATATAGGAAGACTTGTGGGTAATTGGCTAATAAGTGAATATAATCTTTTTTCTTTCTGTGAAGATTCAGTAGACTCCATTCTCCTTTCGTAGCATACACTGTTACTTTATGAACAGTAGTCAGCTACTATTGCCTTATAGTTGCCTGAAATAATCACTATATGAATCATTTTTTCACCAGGTAATTCATTCTGTCTAGCAATTAGTCTGCTTATTTTATAAATTTCATTCTCCTAGGTTACTAGAAATGGCCTGTCCCTGTTTTTATTCCTTCATTTTCTTTCTTCTTCACCCTATTCTCACGTAGAGTAATTCTATGTAAATGCTCACATTTGGTTAAAAAACTATCTTTGTATTTAATCATTCTTTTCCATTTCTGATGCAGATTTATATTTTACCCACACCTTCTAATAAGTTCTAATTTGAGTAGGATAACACTGGTGAATGATTAATATATTTTAACAGCAACCATTGCCTTGGAAGTCATGAACATATTCAAAACTGTCGAAAATGGGACACAGAGATTAAATTACAACTCTTGACCTTCAGTGCAATGTGCCAGAATCTAGCCAGAACAGTAAGTGTGTGTGTGTGTGTGTGTGTGTGTGTACCTTATAACTGAATTGCCCTTGCTGAATCTGAACAATTTTGCTAATTAGCCAATTTTCAGTTTGTACATTATCCAAGATTTCTGGGTTGAACTGGGGTAATTACTAGTTATTCCCATTAGTTTTTTTTTTTTTTCTCAGCAGGTAGAGGGAGATTTTCAATCACAGAGGTTTAGGAAGCATATTTCCTCAGAGCTACAGGTACATTTGAAAATCAAAATGGAATTAAAAGTTTGATTTTTAGGGCTGGGGATTTAGCCCAGTGGTTTCGCCGCCTGCTGCGCAAGCGCAAGGACCCGAGTTCGATCCCCAGTACCAAAAACAAAAAAAAGTTTGATTTTTTTAATAATTTTATGTAAGGATGATCACCTCAGGGTCAATCAAAAAGAAATGGGTAAGAAAAGAATTTTGGATACTAACAGTGAGTTAGAGTAAAAGTGCATATTGGGCTTTGCACCAGACTGACAAATTATTTCTTACAAAATGAAAATTCATTCTTTGTTTTAAAATTTCAGTACTTTCTTCTGAAGTTAAAGCAAAGTAAAATGTAGGAAATTTACCCATCCATTATAAAATCTCCTTTTACTTAAAAAATACCCTCTTGATTAATTTATAAGTGAATTTTTAATCTATTCAGAGAATTATTCATTTAGTAGAATTTTGGAATAAACAGTAGTCATTTTTACTTTGTTTTTCTTTTGTTTTCTTTTCTAGGATTTCGTTCCCCTAGGTTAGGTAGAATTTATTTCAAGTGGGTAGAAACTATTTCACAAAGTTTATTACCTTTTGACAATCATTGGTAACTTCTCTTTTCAGTCTCTCAAGGAATGATGTTCTTGCACATTTACATAGTGTGGAAGGGTAGAAAAGACCAGTGGTACCTCTTCTGTTGGGGGACAGCACAGAATGAGAGGAGACATGATTATCATGAGAAAAAAATAAAGCAAAATTTCAGATGATCTCTTCCCTATCTGGTCCTCACCCTAGTTTTTGCTTTAAAAGGCTGTTTTCTTGTCAGAAACTAGATTTAAAAGCATTTATATTTTCCATTTGAAAATAAGTGTCTTTTTAAACAATATTAACTCATTTTCTAAGTCAATAATAATATTTAATTTTGGTACCATTTTATCTTCAGTTCTGAAAAGTCAATTTAGTTTCATAGAAAGACCAAAGAGTGCATTGGATTTTTTTTTTGTAAACACTTGTATATATGTATTTGTTTAGGCAGAAGATGATGAAACACCCGTGGATTTAAACAAATACCTGTATCAAATAGAAAAACCTTATAAAGAAGTCATGACAAGGTATAGCATCTAAAACATTAATTACAGGTTTTTAAATTTTATTTTGAAGCCAAGTGTGGTAGTGCACACCTGTAATCCTAGCACTTGGGAGGCTGAGACAGGAGGATCATCATGAATTTCAGGCCAGCCTGGGCTACATAGTGAGTTCAAGGGTAGCCTGAATTACATAGTTGAGACCTTGTCTCAAAAAACCAAAAATAAATAAGTAAATAAATACAAAAACAATAAACTTTATTTTGGATGTGAATATATTTATTTTGGTGATTAAAACAGTTATTTTGTATTTAGTATCCTTTAGCCACAATAACTATTCTTTTATTTCAGACACCCTGTTGAAGAACTCTTAGATTCTTATCACAACCAAGTGGAACTGGCTCTTCAAATTGAAGTAAGTTTTAATTCACATTTTGGCATAATGTCAAAGATTCTTTTTTCTTTCATCTCTTAAGTACTAGTGTTAGCATTAGATTAAAAATTTTAAGGCTTCTTAAACTATTCTTAGTGGCAATATGTGATGTCTTCTTTTTTGGCCCAGCTTACTAACAAAACTTCTTAGTAATGCTTGAGTGTACATATTAACTCTCATTTCAGCTTTATTACTGAGAGAAGCCTCAGTTCAATTCAAAAATTGAATTCAGGGCCGGGGATTTAGCTCAGTTGTTTCGCCGCCTGCTGCACAAGCGCAAGGACCCGAGTTCGATCCCCAGTACCAAAAAAAAAAAAATTGAATTCAGTTTAATTAAAATTTTGAATGCTTCCTATATTATGCTAGATGACTGGTGTTATGCTAATGAATGACCTAGTTCCTTCCTGTCAAGAATTTAGAAAACTAGTGGTGGAGGATTTAAGCAAAATTTTAATGCAGTATTGTAAATGTAGCATAGAGTACACATTGGGGTTGTTTGGCATACCATACACAATTTAAGCCTCAAAGGAAGGCTTCTTAGAAGAGATACTGCCTAGCAAACTCTTAAGCAGTGTGAGTTAGCCAGAAAAAAAGATGAGAAGGGGCATGTCCATGTACCCTTATATGCCTGGTATACATGGAATCACACCAGTTCTTTAATAATAAGTATAAAATGAAGTGGGGAAGATGACATTAGAGATAGGCATTAGGTTACCACAGTACAGTTCATGTTAAGGCATTTTACTTTATCATCTAGGTCTGGTGACCATATTCAGTACACTTTCTGTTTTGTAAGTAATTGTTTTTAACATGGTCATACCTGTTTTTTCATGTTGTCTGTTGTCATTTGCATTTATACTCCAACACTAGAGTTGAATAGTTGGAATAGACACTATATGTCCTGCAAAGCCTAAACTATTTATTGTTTGACCCTTTATAGAAAACATTAGCTGACCTCTGCCATAGCCATTAGTTTAGTATTTTCAGTCATGAGTGGATGTAGGATGGAGTGGATGATATTTTTGTCTGTGCTCTGAAATGACTCTGGCCATACAATGGAAGTTAGACTTAAGGGTGGCAGAATTGCTTTTATAGAGACTACTTAGGAAGGATTTTTATGGTAGCCCAGGTGAAAAATAATGAACATGGTGAAAGTGAAAGGGGCGACTGATAAATAATATTTGGGAGATAAAATTGGTAACATTTTGGTAGGTGATAGAGTATGAGAAAAAAATAGGGTGTAGGGCTGGGGATTTAGCTCAGTGGTTTCGCCGTCTGCTGCACAAGCGCAAGGACCCAAGTTCGATTCCCGATACCAAAAAAAAGAAAAAAAAATAGGGTGGGATGACTTTCAGATTTCTAGCTACTAATACCTTGTCAGCATATCAGTGTATTAATTTATTCAGTAAATATTGACTGAATATCTCCTTATTGTTAAGCAGTATTATAGATGCTAAGGATACAATAATGAACACAGAATTCCCTGACCTCAGAGAGTACATTCTAGTTGGAGGAGATGGACAATAAAATAAACTAAAATATGTTATTACAGGTGGTGCTATAGGGAAAAGTATAGGAGGAGGGTAATAACAGTAATTTCAAACAAGGTAGTCAGAGAAGGTCTCATTGAGAAGATGGTTTAGAGTGAAGAACTGGAGAAGGGACAGAAGTGAGAAGATGTTTGGGTTTCTGGGCAAGGCATATTCCTACAAGAAGGGACAGTAAGTATAAAGGCCTAAGGAGGGAGAGTTCCTAATCTACACAAGATCCCTTAGGCCTTTTTAACTGTAATACAATGAGGAGGGGGCAGGAGTGAAAACACATTAATTGGGAAGGTGTTTTACTTGCCCCACGAGAAGTGATGGTGGCTTGGAGCAGGGTAACTGCAATAGAAGTGGTTAAAAGGACTTCAATTCTGGTATGTTTGGTTTGGTTTTGGTTTGGATTTTGGTTTTTTGAGACAGAGTCTCACTATACAGTTCAGGTTGGCCTTGAACTCACTGTGTAGTCCAAGCTGGCCTTGAACTTGTGGTGATCCTCTTGCCTTCAGCCTCCCAAGTGCTAAGATCATAGATGTGCACCACATGCCTGGCTGGGATATGTTTTGAAGTTAATGCTAGGAGGATTTACTATAGATTGGATGTGAAACATGAGAAGAGAGAGTTTGGAGTAACTCAAAATTTCCCACCTGAGCAACTGTAAGTTTAGAGTTACCTTCTAAGGAGTTGTGGAAAGAAAAGAGACGTTTGAGGGGAAAATCAGGCACTCAATTTTCAACAGTATGTTTGAGATGACTATTAGGCATCCACGTAGAATTTGGGTTTTTTTGTTGTTTGTTTGTTTGTTTTTGAGAGAAATTTTCACTATGCAGTCAGGCTGGCCTTGAATTCATTGTGTAGCCCAGGCTGGCCTCCTGCCTCAGCCTCCCAAGTGCTGAGATTACAGGTATGTGCCACCACGCCCGGCTCAAATAGAGATGTTGAGCACAAAGTTGATATGAATTTGGAATTCAGTGCAGGATTTCTAGGCTGGAGGAAACAAACTTGGAAATCATCAGAATATAAGTGGTATATTGCAACCATAAGATTGGATGAAATTACCAAGAAAATCTTGGCAGATGGAAAAGGAAGGAGTTAAACCATCTTGTTGTTGTTGTTGTTATTATTGTTAACCCATTTTAAAACAAAACAAAAACAGGGCCACAGATTTTGCTCAGTAGCACTGGGCCTGCCTGGCAAGCACAAGGTCCCGAGTTTGATCCCTGAAGGAGGGGGGGGTACAAACCCCCAGAATCTACATAATCCTGTGATCCTGCATCAACCACACCACTTCTCCATTCTCTGCAACAAAATGATAAGTTACCTGGTTTTGTTGCTTCCATTTTCTCTCTTCCCATTCTTTTCTGAACCCACTTCAGTAGACTTTCACTGTTAGCCCTTCTCTGAAACAGAACTTAATAAAGTCGTTAAGGACTTACATGATCCTGAATCTAGTGCTAAGTTCTTTTTTTTTTTTCTCAACCTTTCTATAGTTGTGTGTGTCTGTGTATTTGTGTTTGTTTTTTTGTTTGTTTGAGACATGGTCTCACTATGTAGTTCAGGCTGGCCTTGAACCCTTGGCAGTCCTTCTGCCTCAGCTTCCCAAGTGCTGGGATTACAGGCATGTGCCACCTTACTTGGCTCATTTGTGCTTTTTAAAGAAGTTTTATTTCATTTTGAATTTATAAATAATTTTGCATACTTGGGCACAATGTGATGTTCTGATACATGTATACATTTTATAATGATCAAATCCTAGTAGTTAGTATATCTGTTTCAAGCATTTGTCATTTCTGATGAGAACATTCAAAATCTCTTGTGGCAGTATAGTATTGTTAACTATAGTCACCCTACTGTACAACTCTACTTACTCCTCCTGTCTTTATATAGATTCTGATGCAGTTGGTCATTTCTTCCTTCTTGAAACACTTAGCCCCTGGAATATCACCTTTTTGGCTTTCAACTTCCCTTTTTTTCTGCTGTCACTCTCACTTGTGGTTTCTTCCTTAAGATCTCTTTATCTTCCTGACAACTAAACATTAGAATGCCCGGGGGCGGGGGGGGGGCTCTGTTCTCAGACCTCTTCTTTCTAGATTGACATCCTTGGTGATCTCACATACTCCTGTCTTCATGAAAGTCAAACTTTTATCACCAGTCATGACCTTTTCCCTCAACTCTAGACCCAGCACCTTCATATGAATGTTTAACATCTCAGATATTAAAAAAATAAAGTTTTAGGTTTTGTGTTTTTCTCTTTTGGTACCAGGACTCGAACTCAGGACCTTGTGCTTGCCAGGCAGGCACAGTGCCACTGAGCTACATCCTAGCCCTAAAACTTAAACTTTTTACATAGATATTGATCCATCAGTCTTCTCTTTCTGTTTTTGTTTTTTTTTGTTAAAGACTTTGTAATTTAAGAGTTTGAGATTCAGAGCAAAACAGTGAGGAAGGTACAGAGATACCCCATTTAACTTCTATTCCTACCCACCCTTCCCCTTAATAAATACAGTTCTGTTCTTCAGTTTGCTCAGGTCAAAATCTTTTGAGTCCTCCTTGGGTAGATTTAGGGAGGTCAGGAAGTTGCATAAATTTTTATTGTTCCTAGCCTTTAGTTTTTGGAGATAAAATGTTAACTCTTTTTACTAAAGTGAAGTTAGGGTGGCAGTAGGGGTTTTTGAGGTGAAAAATAATGGTTTGTAATATTCTACTCTTAAGAGGAATAAGGAAGAGAACTAAGGGCAGGTAAAAGGAGTAAGTGGTATAGAATTTTCTGCTGAGATTGGGGACTGTTTAATCTGTATGATTGTGAGATTTTCTTAGAAGTACTTGTAGAAGAAGCAGAGAAATCTTTTGTAACTGAGGCTTTTATTATAGGGTGTAGTAGTGGGCCAGTCAGTGTTAAAAAACTGAAATAGTTACTTGAAGATAAATTTCAAGAATCACTACTAAGAGAGTTTTACCCTTATTAGTAAATCGGTAAAGGGAGCTCTAAGGCAAGAGTTGACACACTATGGCTTGCATACTATTTTTTTATTTTTGGTACTGGAGGTCGAACTCAGGACCCTGTGGTTGTGAGGTAGGTGTGGCACCATTGTGCTAAATCCTCAGCCCTGCTGCTTGTTTTTGTAAATAAAGCCTTATTGACCCCCAGCCACAATTATTTTCTTATCTTATCTGTGTTAGTCTCACACTTTAATAGGGAGAGTTGAATTCCACAGACCAAGTGCTCACAAAGCCTAAATTATTTATTGGCCTGTTAAAGAAAATGTTTGTCAACCCTATTCTAAGGGATCCAGAAGTAGCAGTACAAAAAAGCAGCTATCACCTCTACACTAAGCAAAAATGGAGAATGAAGATAATGCCTCTCCCCTACCCCCATCTTCTTTTGAAGAGAAGGTATGGCTGTCACAGGAACAGGCTGCCCATGGCAAAGAAATTTCATGGAGAACATTGGCCTCTGTTCCCAGGGTATGGTCTGAGAGCACAACCAGGGGTTGTCTTTGAGAACCACTGGGCTCCTGTACTGAATTAAAAGGGCCAGAACCCAACTGGAAAGTGTCTTTCTGTTACTTTTGTCTTGGAGTGTCCCTTTGGTACTTTCTATTGACAAAACTAACATTGTCCCAGCTGGTAAAGAATGTTTGTAGGAGTCTAGGTCTAGTGTCACGAAGTAGAGAGGAAAAGAAGGATGGGGTTAGAATAGACAATACATTGACAGATGGCACATAAAGAATGATGGAGGCCACTGTGTTCCCTTTTGCATGGTGGCCCACCCTTATGCTGTAGTGTACTCTTCTTTTCCTAATTTTACTTGGCCCTTATTTACCCTGCAGAGCCTGTTTCTTCTCTTACCTTTAATAAAACTTTGCTGCCACTTTTTAAAAAGTGACAGATCACTCAGGAGGCTCAGGCAGGAAGATCTCTGTGAGTTTGAGGCCAGTGTGGGCTATATAGTGAGTTCAAGGCTAGCCTGCATTATAGAGTGAGACCCTGTCTCAGAAAGCCAAAAAAAGAAAAAAAAGATGGAGAGTGGCATGAGCCTTAAAACTGGAAAGGTTCTTGCATGAAGGTGGAGTAAAAGGAAAAAGAAATATAACCAAAGATAGGAAGCTAGAAACAGGCCCTGAGAACTGTGAGGTAATTGGGCTTTGGGACAATGAGGTGGTTTCATTTAACCTTGAAGGTGAGGGGAACATTTGTGTATGGTAGCCAAGCGTCAAGAAAGGAAAAATTGGGCCGGGGATTTAGCTCAGTGGTTTCGCTGCCTGCTGAGCAAGCGAGAGGACCTGAGTTCGATCCCCGGTACCAAAAAATAAAGAAAGAAAGAATGAATTCTGGGCTGGAGATTTAGCTCAGTGGTTCCTGAAATCGCTCTACCAAAAAAAAAAAAAAAAGAAGAATGCAGTTACTATGTATCAAAAACATGCACTGTACTAATCAAAAAAATTTTTGAAGTCAGGCATGGTGGCACATACCTGTAATTTCAGTACCAGGGAGGCTGAGACAGGAGGATCACCATGAGTTCAAGGCCAACCTGAACTACATAGTTGAGTAAGACCCTGTCTCAAAAAACTTTTTTTTTCTTTTTTGGTACCGGGGATTGAACTCGGTACCTTGTGCTTGCGAGGCAGGAGCCAGAACTACTGAGCTAGATCACCACCCCGATTTTTTTAAAGAGTAGAAAATACCTACTTGTAGGTACATGTAAGTGTTTTAATTTCTGACTTCATTTGAAATTGGTATTTAAATTTTATGTAATTATGTTTACTTTTTATTTTTAAAGAACCAGTACCGAGCTGTAGATCAAGTAATTAAAGCTGTAAGAAAAATCTGTAGTGCTTTAGATGGTGTAGAGACTCCTGCCATTACAGAATCAATAAAGAAGCTAAAGAGAGCAGTTAACCTTCCAAGGAGTAAAAGTGCTGATGTAAGTATTATGTACTTAAGTAGGCACCTATCCCTTAAACTGGGAGATTTTTGTCTTAGTGAAGAAAATATTATGACTTTAACTTTGGCTTTACTTTTGAATTGGTCACTTCTTTGGTTATGTGGGAATTCCTTGATGAAGAGATGGGCTGCCTTGGAAGAGCTTTGTAAGAACGAACATTGAATGGGTTGATGCCAAACTGTGAACACCTTACATGTAGAGATGGACCTATGGTATAAATTAATTGATTGTGGGTTTAAAAATAGATACAAGAAAAAAAAATAGATACAAGAGAAGACAGATGATAGGAATTAGGGAAGTAGATCTTTTTAAAAGGGGTAAGGGATCAAGAGATGGAAAGAGGACGAAAAAAGGAACTAAGATGTGTTATGTGCGTGTACCAACTCCACACGAGGATTGTAAACATTATGTATTGCAAACATGTCCAAATAAAACCAGGAAATCAAGAGATGGATGGAGGGAGAGGCACAAAAGGGGATGACAAAAGGAATTAAGATGTACAGTATTATTAACATGTACTGATTCCCCACAAGGAATGTGCACAGAAACATATACTAGTAAAAATACAGTGAACAAAAAGATACATACTGAGTTTGGAGGTGCTATAGGATAATAACTATCACTTCTCTCAGTGAAGTGTCCATGCTTGCCACTGGGGGCTATTCTACTTCGGGCATACCCCCTCTGTTGATAATACCAAGCAGCCTCCATATAAGTGACTCATTGCCTCAGAAGCAACCAAGTTATGAGGCAGGCTCTGGAACCACTGAGCTAAATCCCTGGCCCAGCAACCAAGTTATGAGCCCTCTCTTTATGTCATATATCAGCTTTTACTAAAAGGTCTGCCTCATGATATTTCCATGGGGATTTAATGAATTCTGTTCATAGATATGTTTATATCTTTGATTGGAAGAATGAAAAAAATGGATCTAACAAGCCACTATAAAATTAAAGGAAGGAAAAGTTATGTTTCTGGTATGCCCTTGATATGGAGGACATAATTTAGTCTGCTTATTCTCAGATCCTTTCCATATGATATTTAGAGATTTTGCTTATATATGAAATTACTTGGAAGTTATCAACAACTATGGTCCTAATTTTGTCTGGCATTTCTATTCTTTTTATTCATAATTTAGATAAAGAAGTAGAGAGTAGTTGGAAGAAGAGCTCAACCTAAAATTACGAGTTTTTGTTTTTGTTTTTTTTAGTTACCAAATCATCATAAATACAGTTCTACATTCTTTTAAAAATATTCTTATCCTGCTAATATAAGAGGACTCAGTGGAAAATAAAATACTGTGTTAGTATACTTGCCACTTCTGATTATGTTGTGTTTCTATTTTTTTTTTTTTTTGGTACCAGGGGTTGAACTCGGGTCTTTGTGCTTGCAAGGCAAGCAGCCGAACCACTGAGCTAAATCCCCGGCCCCTGTTTTTATATTTTTAATATAGCTTTGTTTTAAAATCATCTATTTACTTGGATTAGGGTTTTCCCTTTTTGCTTTTGTGTGGTATGTCTGTGTCTATATATCTCTATGTCTCTTTATGTGATACTGGGGATTGAATCCAGCACCTTGTACATGTTAAGCAAATGTCCTACCACTGTGTTATACCTCCAGCCCTTCTTTTGCATTTTTTACTTACTGTTTTAGTAATTTTCAGACATTTTGAGGAAGCTTTCCTTGGGAAGGGCTTCTTTTTTTCAGTACTGGGGATTGAACCCAGGGCTTTTTAGCCGAGCTACATCCAAGCCCTTTTTAAAGATTTTGTCTTGTTTTGAAATTTTGAGGTAGGGACTTGCTAAATTTCCCTGTCTGGGTTCAAACTTACTATCCTCCTGCCTTAGCTTCCCAAAGTGCTGGGATTACAGGCATGTTCCACCATGCCCAGCTTGGGAAGAGTTTCTTTGATATAGCATTTAATTAAATGTGTTGAAGAGATAGAGGTAAATATTTTATATTGCATCATATGCAATTTCTGATTAATTGATCTGTATATATGCAGGTGACTTCACTATCTGGAGGAGATACTAGCAAAAGCTCAACTGGAGGTATGTCTTTAGATTCTTTAAATTTTAGCAATAATTGTTGATTTTTTTTGGAGAATTATATTAACATTTTCTCCAAATCTAGGCTCCCTGAATCTTGAAAATCCTGTTCAAGTGAGCATGGACCAATTAACTGCAGCAATTTATGATCTTCTCAGACTTCATGCAAATTCTGTTAGGAGTCCTGAAGACTGTACTCACAGTAGGAACATCAAGGAAGCGTGGACCACCGCAGACCAGCTCCAGTTTACTATTTTTGCTGTACATGGAATTTCAAGTAACTGGATATCAAAGTAAGTAACTATTTAAAAGAAAACATGCACAGCTTTACTTAGAAGTAATTCTAATCTTATAAAATATCAGTACCCACTGTTATCTGGTGTTTAAATAGATGATACAGAATCACCGAATATCTTTTTGGTTTTCAGATTTCAAAATTTCAGAGTTCAAAATTGCAGAGATGTTTGAAGCTCTGCCAGTAAAGTGTATCACTCTTATTACATGCAACAAAGGCAGAAAAATTCATACTGAAACTTAAAACAGCAAATATTGTTTCATAAATTAGTTTAAGATTGCTGTTCTTTCTGCTTTTCCATTAGAACCAGGGGAATTTGAAACAATGTAGTGGGACTAGATTGCCAGGCTTTTTCTCCTCATCTTTTGCTGTTTACAGTTAACTGATTGCTAATCTAATTTCTTCTATTGATTTTTTTAATATGGGCTCTCCTGTTTTGATTTTTATTTTTGAAAAGCCTTTAAGACACAGCAAGATTGGGTCAATCATGTCAGGCCCATGGACTATTAATATGCTTAACTGATTCTGTTTTGATAGCTTAGCCAAAGTCTTTCTATCTGTAATTTACCTGGAAGTGAATACATTGTCTATTCATTATCATTCAACTAAAATCTAAAGATGGTAACTAACTGAGCACAACACTGAAATAAATTCTGCAGCTTGTGTCATTATAGCACCCTTGAGACTGGCACCTACAGACATATATTTCCCCTTTGTACTTTGGCTATACCACTTCTCTATTTTCTTTTTTTATCCTGTTCTTATTCTGGAAACAAATTCCAGACTTTTTCTATTTATTTATTTATTTATTTAGGTACCAGGGATTGAACTCTGGTCCTTGCGCTTGCGCAGCAGGCGGCGAAACCACTGAGCTAAATCCCCGGCCCACCACTTCTCTATTTTCATAGAACTTGCAATGGCTAAATTTCAAATGGATTCCCCAAAATTCAAATGAATGGTGACCATTTATTTCAGATATTAGTCACTTTGGGGCAAGAACTCCTAAATATTTGTATTAATTAGTTAATTTGGACTACTAAAATAGAAATCAGGGACCAGGGATTTAGTTTAGTGGCACCATGCCTGCCTCGCAACTGCAAGGTCCTGAGTTCAATTCCCAGTACCAGGAGAAAAAAAAAGATAGAAATCAAATTAACTCTTTTCTTTTCTTTTCTTTTCTTAGTTATGAGAAATACTACTTGATATGTTCCCTATCACACAATGGAAAGGATCTTTTTAAACCTATTCAATCAAAGAAGGTTGGCACTTACAGAAATTTCTTCTATCTTATTAAATGGGATGAACTGTAAGTGAAATTTTTGTCTTTTCATTTCTTTCAGTGTGCTCTGTTCTTAATGTATATATCCTAGTTTTAATTATTACCATTTCCATTGAAATTTACTTAATTCTTACTGATGTCTTAAAATCTTTTTAGATATGATTCTATACAACAGATTCTTGCGAAAAAATCTGAAATACTTGCCCAAACCTATATATTATCAAATTAAAATAGCGTGCTGTTAATTCTTCCTAGGTTTTGTTTTTTGTTTTTTGTTTTTCTTCCTAGGCTTTGTCAAGTTAAAAATAAATTTACATGTAACTAGCAAAAAAAGGTCAGGTGTGGAACAGTGCTAAAGGGCTGTCTGTGTGCTGGAGGTCTGAAGGGTCCAGTCAAAAGTTGAAGGCCTGGAGCTTGCTATAAAGTCCTGGGCGAATCCATATCAGACCAAAGGGTCTTTCTTCAGCAGAAAACTTAAGCCTGAGGGCCGGGGATTTAGCTCAGTGGTTTCGCTGCCTACTGCACAAGCGCAAAGACCCAAGTTCAATCCCCGGTACCAAAAAAAAAAAAAGCTCAAGTCTGAGCTACAAGGCAGAAGAATCTGTGGTGGAAGCCATGAGATGGATATCCAAGGCAAAGTTGAAGATTGGAGCTCCTCCAAAGAAACAGAAAGGAGCCGTTCTTCTTTCTTTCCCTTTTATTCCATTCAGGCTACAGGCCTATTTGTTGGCATTGCTCACACCCAGAGTGGGTCTTAGTAAATCCATTCAGTTGTACCCAGAATTATGCTAACCTGATCAGTAGGGCACTTCTTACTGAAGTTGACATAATGTTAACTATCAAAGATGATGTTTTATAACGTTGCTTATTTTAGTTTTTATTCTGTGACATATATAAGAATCTAGTTCTTTGTTTTTAGAATCTGGCTCTTGTGCTCGCTTCAGCAGCACATATAGTAAAATGAGAATCTGGCTCTTGATTAATAGATCTAAAAAGTTGTCTTCAGTTTGTGTACAAGATGTTTTATAATGTTACTATCTTTTTTTTTTTTGTACCGGCGATCGAATTCGGGACTTTGCGCTTGCGAGGCAGGCAGCAGAACCACTGGGCTAAATCCCTGGCCCCAATGTTACTATTTTTTAAATACTGTTTTTGAACTGAAAAAACTCTTTATAACTTAGGTAGATAGGCAGTGGAAGAAGTTTCTGTTATTTGTTACACATTTATTAAATGGTTTCCTGTTTTTCTCTTTTACTATTTTTTAAGTTGCAAAAATAATACGTGACTGTTAAAGCAAACAGGTAAAACAAAAATGCACATAGGATGCCAGGCGTGGTGATGCGTGTCTATAGTCCTAGAGGCTTGGGAGGCTGAAATGGAAGGATTGTGAATTGAAGGCCAGTCTGGGAAATATACAGATACCCTATCTCTCTTTAATTTTCAGTATATCGTCTCAGAGTGATCATTATTGATCTCATATGTTCTTTCAGACTTAGAAAAAATATATACATATTATCTATTTGTGTATATGTGTGCATATTTATAACCCAAAACAGAAATGCTCATAAACGTTCATCTCATCCAGTGATGGCGAACCTTTTAGAGTTTTCAGTGATACACACAGTCAGTTCCATCATGTGTGCCATAGGTTCGCCACCACTGAAGTCTGTCTTAATGGAAATAAAAGTGACTATTATTTTGCCTGGAAATTGACACTTCAAACCTTAAGTAAAGGTACTTAACAAATTTTTAAAGAAAAAAAGTTACCCTTTAAAATTTTATGTGTTAATAAAATTTAAGACTTTAAGATTATAAGTTAACCAAACTTGCTACTTAGCTAAAGGTTACATGAGATTAAAGATTATTTGATATTTAAATGAAATTCCTAAAGTTGTCAGTCTCATTAAAGTTAAGTTTCACATTCAGTCTAATCTGTTCTATTAATACATTTTTCCCCATAGAATTATTTTTCCCATCCAGATATCACAATTGCCATTAGAATCACTTCTTCATCTTACTCTTTTTGGAATTTTAAATCAGAGCAGTGGAAGTTCCCCTGATTCTAATAAGCAGAGGAAGGGCCCAGAAGCTTTGGGCAGAGTTTCTTTGCCTCTTTTTGACTTTAAACGGTAAGTACCACTGAATTGTGACAGTGAGTTGCAATGGACATATCTGCATATCAGAATTGCCTGGAGGACAGGATGGGGACAATGACAAACATGAAGTAGTAGAACTATTTCAATTTTTTTTCAATGGGATAAGTTCAAAGACAGATCAGGGGAAAACAGTTATTCTGCTATAGTCTATAAACATTGCATGGGTATTCATAGGGTTGTTTGGTACTCACTGTTCAGTAAAAAAGTAGTAACCAGGGCCGGGGATTTAGCTCGGCGCTGCGCCTGCCTGGCAAGCGCGAGGTTCTGAGTTTGATCCCCGGTACCAGGGGGAAAAAAAAGGAGCAACCAATGATTCTGTCATTTATGTAGTGTATTACTAATACAATACCATGATTTCATCAGTTCCCTTGATATTAATGAAAGAACTCCATGTTTCCTCTTTTCATCCTTTTCCTACACTTCTCCAGTTTCAGAGACATATTTACACATTATTCCCTTTGTTAATTCTCTTTACCAAACTAATCTGTCCCTTTACTGTCACGAGCCCTGGTCTTTAATCTCCACATGTCCTATTTGTGTCAAAACCTATTCTGGGATTCTTTCCCCTGCACTTAAGGGTAAAGGAATTTCTTTGGATGGAGCTTTAATAGATAAAGCTTAAAAGAATAGCCATCGGGATAATAAGGTCATCCTAAAGAGAAAAGAAAATAATAAGTTTGGGGTATGTTACATACAGTACATGGGAATGTTCTGCAGACTGATAATATACATGAGTGTGTTGAAAGCATATCTAAAGTTCTGTAATCAAGAAGCCTATTTAACTACTTTATAATAATATATTCACTATAATAGCGAACACTTATATAGCCCTTCTTACTATGTGCTAGGTTTTATGAGTGCTGTACACATCCGTATATTCCCCCACAACCACTCTGTGAGGAGGATACTGTCCTCTTTTACAGAGGGGGAGCCTAAGTACAGAGGTTAAATGCCTTGCTCCTCAGTGCTTGTGTAGTAATTGAGATTTCAATCAGGCATTCTGGCTCCAGGATCTCTGTTCTTAAATATTATTCTATGTTGACATTCTCAAACTTACTTGATAGATACTGTGGCACTTTTTTTGTTGTTATACAGTGTATCTTTTGAAACATCATATTCATAGGGCAATTTGGGAAATGATTGAATAATGGATCTTTTTAAAAAACATTTAAGAGTGAAAATATTCTGTCAGTCTACTTCTTTTACCTTCTTAAATGGCAAACTATTTGATTTTCCAGCAATCATTTCTGGTTTGAAACAAACCTTTTTTTTTTCCCCCAATATAAGAGCCTTGGCTAGGCAAGTGCTTTACCATTGAACTATATCCCCATCCATGACCTCACAAATTTTGATCTTGCTATATTCCCATACACTTATATGAAAAATACTTTTTATAATTACTTCCCTCATGTTTGAGGAGGCAGTATATGAGGTTTTTTTTTTTTTTTTTTTTTTTTACTATCTACCTTTTGGTCATTTTAAAGTTTTATTTGGCATCTGACATAGTTCCAGACCATCAAAAGCTAGAGAAAAGCAGTTGGCGAGAGTACTATTAATGGCATGTATTTAGAACCTTTCATTAAATGTAATCCATAACTTCTCTAAACATAATATTGACATAACTGGTACCATGAAGAAGAATTGTGTTCTTAATTCTTTTTTGTAAGTTAGTGTTAGAGTGTAATTATGTGAGAAAATTAAATGTAACTCCATCATTATCATTGATTTTTATAAATATAGTAAATCAGTTTTTAGAAACTTCTTACTTTTGAGAATACTGTAAGTCTTTGCTTAATTAGAAAACCATCATTTTTTTCCACTTTCATGGCCTGGCAAACTTTTTTTTTTTAGATGAATTATATAACATTCTTTCATAAATCAAGAGATTATAAAATGAAGTGAACCAGGCATGGTGACGCACAGTTGTAATCCCTGGAATCTGAAGGCAGGAGAGTTGCAAGTCCAGCCCACCTTGGGCAACTTGGCAAGATTGTGTTTAAAAAGGATGGGCAGAACTCACAGCCATCCTGCCTTAGCCTCCCAAATGCTGGGATCATAGGCATGGGCCACCATGCCTGGCAGTTTCTGATTCTTTTTTTTTTTTTTTTTGTACCCGGGGGGGAAATTGGGGCCTTGCGCTTGCGAGGCAGGCAGCGGAACCACTGAGCTAAATCCCCAGCCCCATATTAGTGTTCTTGCCAAAGAACTAAACTGGAATCAAAGTAAGGCTCTAGATCTAATTACAGTACATACTTGAGCCCCCTTGCCTGTTTTTATAAATACAATTTATTGGAATGTAGCACCCATATTCATTTATGCATTGCTCATAACTACTTTGCGTTATAACAGCCAAGTCTTAGCAGCAGAGAATGAGTAACCCACAAGGTCCAAAATATTTACTGCCTGGGCCGGGGATTTAGCTCAGTGGTTTCGCTGCCTGCCTTACAAGCGCAAGGTCCCGAGTTCAATCCTTCATACAAAAAAAAAAAAAAAAATGAAAGACAAAATATTTACTGCCTGACCCTTTATAGCAAAAAATTTGCAGACAAGGACACAAATACAGCTTCTTATCTCAGATGATCGGTGCTCTGGCACTAACAATTACCAGTTTTCTTGGCATGCAGTTTTTGTTCTAACAGTAAAAGTCAGGAAGCAGTTCTGTAATCCAAATCTCCACTTTGAGATATATTCCTTTATAGAAAATCTGGAAAGACCCCTTCTTCCTATTTATAAAGTTGTTTTAAAGACAGATCTTTACCCTTCTTGTGTTTTGTCTTTACACCATTCTTTACAAAATGTATTTTTTCTTTCTCCTTCACTTTATCCTTCCTCATAATTCATTATGTTCACCTAAAGTCACAGTACAATATGGGGAATAACTGTTCTTAAAAGATGGTGTTCTTGGCGGCCCCCACCCAGCCGGGGCCCACGGGGGAACTACCGCCCCGGACCCCCACCCTGCCGCCTCAGGACGGGATGGGGAGGGTGAGAGAGAGGACGGGGCAGCGGCATGGCACCCGGTCCAAGACCCGGACGCCAGCAGGCTTGGAGCCTCTCAGGACTGCCCAGCCCAATTCCTTTCCAGAGTGTGGATTCTTTGGCATGTATGACAAAATTCTTCTCTTTCGCCATGATATGAACTCCGAAAATACTTTGCAGCTGATTACCTCAGCAGATGAAATACATGAAGGATATCTAGTAGAAGTTGTTCTTTCGGCTTTGGCCACAGTAGAAGACTTCCAGATTCGTCCACATACTCTATATGTACATTCTTACAAAGCTCCTACTTTTTGTGATTATTGTGGTGAGATGCTCTGGGGATTGGTACGTCAGGGGCTAAAATATGAAGGCTGTGGATTAAATTATCATAAAAGATGTACCTTCAAGATTCCAAATAACTAGTAGAGTAAGAAAGAGACGTCTGTCAAATGTATCTCTCCCAGGACCTGGCCTCTCAGTTCCAAGACCTCTCCAGCCTGAATGTGTACCTCTGCTCAGTGAAGAGTCACATATCCACCAAGAACCAAGCAAGAGAATTCCATCTTGGAGTGGTCTCCCAATCTGGATGGAAAAGATGGTAATGTGCAGAGTAAAAGTTCCACACATTTGCTGTTCACTGTTATGGCCATCCCACAATATGTCAGTACTGCAAGCGGCTACTGAAAGGTCTTTTTCACCAAGGAATGCAGTACAAAGATTGCAAATTCAATTGCCATAAACGCTGTGCATCAAAAGTACCATGAGACTGCCTTGCGAAGGATACTTTCAATGGAGAAACTCCCAGTATGGGAACAGATACAGATATACCAATGGACATTGATAATAATGACATAAACACTGATGGTAATCATAGTTTAGATGACACAGAAGAGCCATCTCCTCCAGAAGATAAAATGTTCTTCCTGGATCCATCAGATCTTGATGTGGAACGAGATGAAGAAGCTGTTAAAACCATCAGTCCATCAACAAGCAATAAAATTCCACTAATGAGGGTTGTACAGTCTGTCAAGGATACAAAGAGGAAGAGCAGCACAATGGTGAAGGAAGGATGAATGGTCCATTACACCAGCAGAGATAATCTGAGAAAGAGGCATTATTGGAGACTTGACAGCAAATGTCTAACATTATTTCAAAATGAATCTGGATCAAAGTATTATAAGGAAATTCCACTTTTAGAAATTCTACAAGTATCTTCGCCACGAGATTTCACAAACATTTCACAAGGCAGCAACCCACACTGTTTTGAAGTCATCACTGACACTATGGTATACTTTGTTGGTGAGAACAATGGGGATGGCTCTCACAATCCTGTTCTTGCTGCCACTGGAGTTGGACTTGATGTAGCACAGAGCTGGGAAAAAGCAATTCGCCAAGCCCTCATGTCTGTGACCCCTCAAGCAAGTGTTTGCACTTCTCCAGGGCAAGGGAAAGATCACAAAGATTTGTCTACCAGTATCTCTGTATCTAATTGTCAGATCCAGGAGAATGTAGACATCAGTACCGTTTATGAGATCTTTGCAGATGAGATCCTTGGTTCAGGCCAATTTGGCATTGTGTACGGAGGAAAACATAGAAAGACAGGAAGAGATGTGGCTATTAAAGTAATTGATAAGATGAGATTCCCCACAAAGCAAGAAAGTCAGGGGGCCAGGGATTTAGCTCAGTGGCAAAAACACCTGCCTCACAAGCGCAAGGACCCAAGTGCAATCCCCGGTACCAAAAAAAAAAAAAGTCAACTCCGTAATGAAATGGCTATTTTACAGAATTTGCACCATCCTGGGATTGTAAATCTGGAATGTATGTTTGAAACTCCAGAGCGAGTCTTTGCAGTAATGGAAAAACTACATGGAGATATGTTGGAAATGACTGTGTCTAGTGAGAAAAGTCGACTTCCAGAACGAATTACTAAGTTTATGGTAACACAGATACTTGTTGCTTTAAGGAATCTTCATTTTAAGAATATTGTGCACTGTGACTTAAAGCCAGAAAATGTTCTGCTTGCATCAACAGAGCCATTTCCTCAGGTGAAGCTGTGTGACTTTGGATTTGCACACATTATTGGTAAAAAGTCATTCTGGAGATCAGTAGTAGGAACACCAGCATACTTGGCCCCTGAGGTTCTCAGGAGTTAAAGGTTACAACCGTTCTCTAGATATGTGGTCAGTGGGAGTCACCATCTATGCGAGCCTCAGTGGTACATTTCCATTCAGTGAGGATGAAGATATAAATGACCAAATCCAAAATGCTGCATTTATGTACCCACCAAATCCATGGAGAGAAATTTCTAGCAAAGGTAAAAAATAAAGAAATTAATTTTGAAAAAAAAAAAGATGGTGTTCTTTTTATAAAACAGTGAATGGAATACTAATATTTCAAATTGACTACCATGTGTTATGAGTTTTGGATTTCTTTAAAGGAAATTATAGTGTTCTTTTTACATTCATAAAGGTTTTTAACGTGTGGAACTAAACTTCTATATCTTTGGACCTCTTCGCATACAAATCCTAGTCCTGGAACAATCCCCAAAAAAGGATGTGTCATGGAAAGAATAGTACTACAGGTAATGGTATTTCTTGGCACATGGAGGTTTAAATTTAAATTTAAATTCCTTTATAAAAAGTATGTGTGTCTACCACTATTTGGGTTATTATGAATTGATTTTTAATTTCAGAATCTATCTTAAATTTAAATGTTACAAAACCATTTCCAGTTTCTGAAAAACAGTAGAACATGCATTTTACCAAGCTGAGTGTGGTGGCACATGCCTGTAATCCCAGCTATTCTGGAAGCTTAGGAGGATTGCAAGTTTGAAGCCAGCAGGCAGTTTAACCAAGCCTCTGTCTCAAAATAACAAATAATTCGAAGCATGGAGGATGTAGTTTAGTGGTAGAGTGCCCCTAGATTCAATCCCAGTACTGAAAGAAAAAATAGCATTGTACCCATCCCAAGAAATATATATGTAATGTATATAGTATTGAGAGTTACCAACTGTTGGTAATCACCATCGATAAAAAGACAAGCACTAATTTAATATTCAATGTAAATACACCCTTATTGCTAAGAAAAAAAATCAGTTTTCTTAAGCTAATGTGGAGGATATTTCACCTGTAATTTGATCAATTTTTGTTGAATTTTTAAGGTTGATTTTCCTTCTCCTACGTTTGATATTATTTACACAACTCCTCAAGTTGACAGAGGCATTATACAGCAATACAACTTAGAAACACTGGAAAATGATATAAAAGAAAAACTTCTTGATATTCTTCACAGAGACTCATCACTTGGGTATGCTTTGGCTATTCTGTTTTGCTTGAGCATCACCTGCAATGTAAAGTTCAAGTTAAGAGCATATATTAAATGCCTTTATTTACTTCATGACTTAGCAGTGCTTTTGGTGAGGAAAATTTTCTATTTAACTTTTTAAAAATTATATTAAAAGCATATGTGGGAGGTGGAGGTGTAGCTCAAGTGTAGTTCACTTGCCTAGCAAGTAAGTGCAGAGCACCAGGTTCAACCCCCAGTACCACTAAACAAAGAAACAAAACCAACCTTATAAGATTATATCAATTTAGGAAATTTGCACAAGTCAAACTTTTTACTTGATCAAAAGGCAAACAGACTGGGAAATATAATAAATGATCAATGTATTAATTTCCTTGGTCTATAAAGAATTGTTTCACATCAGTAAGATAATGATCAATAACTCATTATTGAAGGAGAGTGTGCACAAATGGAAGGCACTGCCTTTTGAATATTTGAAAAGATGCCCAGTCTTTTAAGGAAAAGAAAATCAGTGCAAAATATCATCTTACACCAGAGCAGCAAAATTGAAATGCTTCATCATTTAAAGTGTTAATAAGGATTCAGAAAAGATGTGAATTATGTAAAAGCCATAACCCTTTTGTTTGTTTTTTGTTTCGTTTTTTCTGCTACCCGGAATTGAACTTAGGACCTTGCACTTTCGAGGCAGGCACAGTGCCACTGAACTACATCCCTGGCCCAGCCATAACCCTTTTGGAGAGCAATTTGGCAAATTATACAAGTTACAATTGTGTATATTGTGCAACCGGGCAATACTCCTTCCATTTGTTTTTTGTTTTTTTGGTACCGGGGATCGAACTCGGGACCTTGTGCTTGCAAGGCAGGCACCGGAACCACTGAGCTAAATCCCTGGCCCTAACTCCTTCCATTTGTATTTCATAGAGAAAACCGTGTATTAGCTTATGAGGGCAAGAATGTTTATTACAATATTTAGACTGCTGAAAAGCTGATTAGAAATGTCTATCAATAACAGTTAAATTATTCAATGGTGAACTACAACTATTTAGAAAAAAATTAAAGCTATATGTACCCATTTATAAGATATATTAAATGAAGAAATCAAAGAGCTGACTAGTGTGTATAGTGTGTTACTGTTAGCAGAAATGAAAAATCGCAGACCTAAAAACAACATATATTTGTTTCTCTATAAATAGACTATCTCTGGAAGCAAGCTTAGGTGATGTGGAGTTGGAAAGAGATTTTACTGTGCCCTTTGTGTAATATATGGATTTTTTTCAGTTCACCATATGATATGCATGTGTTTCATTGTATGAATTGTAGGTACAAAAATGAATGGAGTATAAAATCATGAAATATTTTATTCACATGAACATTTGTTATTTAAAGCAATTAGAATGAGAATATCTAGAGCAAGCCATTTTCATTTTGATTATTATTAATTCAACTGTATAATAATTTTCTAAAAGTTTATACTAGCTGCCAGGCATAGTAACACATACCTGAAATTGTAGCACCAGTGGGAGGCTGAGAGAAGAGGATCATTAAGTTTGAGCCCATCTAGGCAGCTAAGCAACTTAGTGAGACCCTGTCTCAAAACAAAGGAAGGGAGGGAAGGAAGAGGTCAAGGAATATAGCTCAGTGCAAAGGCCCTGGGTTCAATCCACAGTACCATCACTACTCTCAAAAAAGTGATAGTGTTTGATCCCTGGTACCAAAAAAAAAAAAAAAAAAAAGTGATAGTGCCATTTGTTTTCTACATGGCACTTGACTTGTATAAAATGGATGAAATCCTTGGAAACTCTTAGGGTGAGGTCTGCTTATTCAACTGTCATTTTGTAGTACGTGGCATCTGGTTTGAGCTCATTAGATTTTTATTGTACCAAATTATCCTTTGTTTTCATGACTAAATGTTCTTTTATCAAGACAGAATAATTTCTTTCCAGGTCCTTTGGGTAAAGTAATAATGTTTACTGTATATTACATTTTTCTATCCCAAATTAGTATTAATGTTTTCACCAAGAAGTAAATAGATTTCTTCATGTTTTTAATCATTGAGATTGTAACTATGTTGTTATAGTGTTAATGAGAAATAATTTAATTCTACTATGAATGCAGGCTTTCTAAAGAAGATAAAGCCTTTCTGTGGGAGAAACGGTATTACTGCTTCAAACACCCAAATTGTCTTCCTAAAATACTAGCAAGTGCCCCAAACTGGAAATGGGTTAATCTTGCCAAAACCTACTCATTGCTTTACCAGTGGCCTCCATTGTATCCACTGGCTGCATTGGAGCTTCTTGATTCAAAGTAAGTCATATACATCATTTGCTCTGTTTCATGTCAGTCTTTCCAGCAAGTAAGGTATTATGTTGTTGGAGTTCTTTCTTTTTAACCCGAAAACAGTTCAATATAATATAAATGTGTAAATGTACACTTATACAAATCTTTTGCATTAAATTTTTTTTTTTTTTTTTTTTTTGTGCTGGGGATCGAACTCGGGTCCTTGTGCTTGCACAGCAGGCGGCGAAACCACTGAGCTAAATCCCTGGCCCTGCATTAAAATTATTTTAAAAGCTTTTGCTTTCATATAAAATTAACATACAAAAAAGGATTAGAAGCCGGGTGTGGTGGTGCACATCTATAATCCCAGCACTTGGGAGGCTGAGGCAGGAGGATCGCTGCAAGCTGGAGACCACCCTGGGCCACATAGTGAGTTCAAGGCCTATCTGAACTACATAGTGAGACCTTGTCTCAAAACAACAACAACAACAACAAAAGGATTAGATTGTAAATTTTGAATAATTTATTACGCTTTTCATTGTGGGCAAAAATTAATTTTTATAAACTAAATAATTCCAAAAATGAATCTATAGTACAATGAGCCTTTCTTCCTGAAAAAGAAGAAATATATTGCTTTTGAATAAAGAATTATGTCAGTATTCTCTGTTCGGAAAAATTGAGATTGCATTTTTTAGGAAATATGGCTTCAATGGAAGGAAATCACTGTTAAATCCTAATTTTCTGATATTCTAGATTTGCTGATCAGGAAGTGAGAACCCTAGCTATGACCTGGATTGAGGCCATTAGTGATGATGAGCTGACAGATCTCCTTCCACAGTTCGTGCAAGTGAGTTCTTTACTAGGTAACCTCACTCCTGGTACTGGTATTTATGAGTCAGGAACTTAGTAAGGGATCCCCTTTCTGTTTTGATTAAAACTAGTTTTATAGTATGGCAATGTTGAGGGGCATTACGTGTGGATTTAGCATGACTTCTTTTTTCCCATTACTTCATCTGCCCCACTTGAATACTGTATATCTGTACCTGAATTTTTAATTCTTAGACTTTTTAGAGTCTCAAAACAAACTAGTTGATTTCTTGATTTTTCTTACCTGGCTAGTGAAACATTGCTAATATTATTCCTAAGTCCATTTTTGTGTTTTATTTCATTACTTTAGCCTATAGTAATTAACCTATTTCATTTTTGTAAGAAGTTTCTTTTGGATCCTCTTTTAATAATCTTACCTGAATAACTTAGTATGGGTTTCAGCACTACTAATTCTTACTTTCTTTTACACATAGGCTTTGAAATACGAAATTTACTTGAATAGTTCATTAGTGCACTTCCTTCTGTCCCGGGCATTGGGAAATATCCAGATAGCACACAATTTATATTGGTAAGATTTCAATTTTATTAAGTACCTTATTTCTATTCCTAGTATTCATAGTGATGACATACTCTATTAGGTCTAAATACTATGTTCAGACTACTTACTGTGGACACCAGATGTTTTATTGAATGCATTAGAGAAGGTAAATTTTTATGTCTTTAGAAATAAAACCAAAAGTGACAAAAGCCTCTATTGCAAAATATTTGGCATGTTACAACACTGTATTAGTAAATGAGTTTTTACTTATGTACTTAAAATAAAATTTTAAATACAAAAAATAGAACTTGTTGATTTTTGAAGGAGGTTCATCCAGTTCTCAGAAGTGACTGACATATATTTTGGTGTGTTAGGCTTCTCAAAGATGCCCTGCATGATACCCAGTTTGGTACCCGATATGAACATGTGTTGGGTGCTCTCCTCTCAATAGGAGGGAAAAGACTCAGAGAAGAACTTTCTAAGCAGACGAAATTTGTACAACTACTAGGTGGAGTAGCAGAAAAAGTAAAGCAGGCTAGTGGATCAGCCAGACAGGTATGTGCCCTCGAAAGGGAATGTGTTTTGATGTTAGAAAATCTTCGTGGTGCTGACAAAATAAGTTTTTACTCTATCAGTAGACTCTCACTAGAACTCGTAACTACACCTGTACTATTTGGGGCAAATGAAATTCAAAAGTTGTTTAAAATATACAACATAAAATATACAAAATATATAGGAAAAGATTTTATAACCTAACTCAGAAAATCAATCATATATTCATTACCCCTCCCCCCATTGAAAGTAGAGCCTTTGTGCTGGGCTTAAACCTGAGATCCTCCTGCCTCAGTCTCCCAGAGTGCTGAGATTACAGAGATGGTTCAGATTTTTGTTTGAACACCTGTTTTCACTTTAAGAATGAATTGCTGATAGGGGCTGGGGATTTAGCTCAGTGGTTCTGGTGCCTGCCTCGAAAGCGCAAGGTCCTGAGTTTGATCCCCAGTACCCCAAAAAAAAAAAAAAAGCAAGAATGAATTGCTGAGTATATATACCATTTACTTTCCTACTAGCAATATAAAAGAGATCTAACTTCTCCACATCCTTACCAACATTTGTTATTTTCTGAGATTTTGAGGTGTATTTTCCATTCTGGGGATTGAATCCAGTGTCTCTTGCATGCTATTGAAGTGCTGTACCACTGAGTCACATCCCTGGCCCTTTTTTTTTTTTGATACTGGGGATCGAACTTGGGACCTTGTGCTTGTGAGGCAGGTGGTGGAACCACTGAGCTAAATCCCAGGCCCTCCCCAGCCCTTATTTTCTGTGTTTATTTTGAGACAGGGCTTCACTGTGTGGCTTAGGCCAGCTAGCCTCAAACTTGCTGTGTAACACAGGCTCAAACTCAACAGTCTCCTGCCTCAGCCTCCTAAGTAGCAAGAATTACAGGTGTGCGTAAACCACACCTGTCTCAAGTTTTTGCTTCTTTGCTAGTATTTCTTTTTACATTTTTATTTATTTTTAACTTTTAGAGTTTATGATGCCCAGGACAGTTGTGTACTCCTAGGCATAAGCAGTCCTCCTGCCTCAGCCTTCCAAGTAGCTGGAATTGCAGGCGTGTACCATCACACCAGGGTTACTAGTATTTATAGGAGATTTCTACAGGCAAAATAGCTGAATCAAGAGCTATGTATATTTTTGTTATAATAATTTGTTAGATTACTCTCCAGGAAAAGCCATGCCTACATGTACTTCTTTCTCCACCAAGAGATTGTGAAATTATTTCCCACCATTGGATGTTATCTTAAATTTTCATCTGGCAGATGAGAAACTGAATCTCATTTTGTTTACTTTTTATTTCTTCATGACTGTTAGCAAGCTTTGACATTTTTGTGTGTTGGTTGGCCGTATGTACTTTTCCCTCTGTTCATAGCCTTTGCCCATTCCAGTTTTGTTGTTGCAGTAAAAATGAACACATTTAGCAATGACTTTTTTGATTATTTGGCAATTTGTGTCTACAGCATAATTTGATGTCTTGAAAATAGATCTTTATTTTCATTATGTATTTACAGTTACAATTTCTTTCTATAGGTTGTCCTCCAAAGGAGTATGGAAAGAGTACAGTCCTTTTTCTTGAGAAATAGATGCCGTCTCCCTCTCAAGCCAAGTCTGGTGGCAAAAGAGTTAAATATTAAGGTGACACAGTACTTAAGTTCATATTAAATTTCAGAATAATGTGTTGGAAGAAGGAAAATAGGCAGGTATATTTAAGGTAAATGAGTATGAAACTTCCATAGTTTGAAGTATGTATGGAAGGATGTCTGTCATTACTATGCATCTCAGCATACTTTTATCCAATTACTAATCTTAAAAGACCAACAGTATAAAATTATTTACTACCTTGGGTTTGGCTTATTGTTTCTCTTAAATTAGTCTTATCCTCCCCTCAATACTGGGGATTGAACCAGGGCCTTCACACTGAGCTATATCTCAGCCCTTTTTATCGTTTTTTTGTTTTTAATCTTTATCTTTTATTTTGAGTCAGTCTAAGTTAAGTTGCCCAGGCTGGGCTTGAACTTGTGATCTTCCTATTTCTACCTCCCAAAGTACTGAGATTATAGTGCATCACCATGTCTAGCTTAGTTTTACTCTTTAAATTAGCTTTTTTGTCAGTTTCATTTAAAAATAAGATTTTATTTCTGCTAATGAAATTGGGCTTTTGTCAATATTTGATTCCACAGATAATCAACTATAATACTATTATAAGTAGAAGTAGAGATCTCATTCTAGAACTGCCACACTCGGTCAAGCTTGTGGTCCATAGACACCTGGCTCCTTTCCCTAGAAGAAGCACCAGAGGATGGTTTGTGGGAGGAAGTGGCTTAAGAATTTATAAGGCTTGGGGCCGGGGATTTAGCTCAGTGGTTTTGCTGCATGTTGGGTAAGCGCAAGGACCCGAGTTCGATCCCCAGTACCAAAAAAAAAAAAAGAATTTATAAGGCTCAAATTTGAAACATTTTTGCCTCAGATTTTAAAGTTTTTGCTTCTCTGCTCATGATATATTCGTCAAATATGCTATGCCTAATTTTTTTTTTTTTTTTTGGTACCTGGGATTGAACTCAGGACCTTGCACTTGCGAGGCAGGCACTGGAACCACTGAGCTAAATCCCTGGCCCAATGTCTAAATTTTTGAAGTGTTTTTATATTCATATTATTTGCCAGGTCATCTAAGAATCATTTCTTGTGTGTTATTTCATTTGCCATAATTCAAAGAAACAAGTGAAAGGGGAGGTGCCTAGGACAAAAAAAATCATTAATTCATTTTTATTTCAGTGTTGTTTTTCTAATGTTTAAATGTTGTATTTGCAGTCATGTTCCTTCTTCAGTTCTAATGCCGTGCCCCTAAAAGTCACCATGGTGAATGCTGATCCAATGGGGGAAGAAATTAATGTCATGTTTAAGGTGAGCAAAATAGGGTTACTTCTGAGGGGGACAGGATCTCATTGTGTTGCCCAGACTGATCTTGAACTCCTGGGCTCAAGAGATCCTCCTGCCTCAGCTTCCTCAGTAGCTGGGATTACAGATATGTGGCACTGTACCTAGCTACAGTTGCTTTCTTCTAAAAAATGACAATTAAAAATAATATTTTAATCTAATTCCTTTTCTAAAATTACAAGAAAATTTTGTTTAGTACTTTAATTTGAATAATTATAGGAACATTATCATTGACATAAACTATTTCCAAATAGATTTGAGAACAAATACAAATATGAAATAGATCTGATACAGATTGAGCCATATCATAACTCCAGGCTGCCCACAATGCAGACTGTGATGCGAATGGCATCCCCTTGAGTGACATAGTGCAAAATGGCACAACCCTGAGCATTGGCACTGGTTTGGGAAAATACACCGATCACTTGTGGAGAGCAGCAGGATTGGAATACTACAGTTGTCTCTTACGTGTTATAATTCTGTGTGTTGTGATCATAATTTATCTATTTTGAATAAAGAATGGAGATTTTTAATTTGATAAGTGGCATTTCATAATATCTTCTATCAAACCACCTTAGCATTTTACCAAGTTCCCATACACTTAGGTCTGGTTGGGACTTCATATTTGGTCTTACTGATACAAGTGACTTTTCCTAAAACTGTACCATCTGTTTTAATTATAGAAAGTTTGTGTGTTAAGTCTGTGACTTGTTTTTTTTCATAAATTTCTTGGCTTGTTGCAAATGTATCAATCATTATGCTTTAAAATTATTGTATCCAGCTTAAAGGAATGGTAAACTTATTGGAGTTCCAGTTAGACTTTTTTTCCTCCAGTATTGGGGATTGAACCCAGCACCTTTGCAGAGCCAGAGCTACAACCCCCAGCCCATTTTTCAGATAGGATCTTACTAAGTTGCCCAGGCTGCCCTCCAACCTGTGATCCTCCTACCTTAGCTAGGCTTCATTTAAACTTAATTCATTTTGAGAGGCCTAATATTTTTAAGTAACCTTTTATTTTTAAATAATTGTATACTCATAGAGAAATATAACAAATGATTCAGAGAAGCCATGTGAATCCTTTACCCAGTTTCCCCCAGTGGTAACATCTTGTATGATTATAGTACAGTATCACAATCAGAATACTGGCATTGATACAGTTAAAATATAGACCATCAAAAAAATCTCTAGGTAGAACTCTTAATAGGTGTAGATAAACACTTTATGAACAGAATCCCGATCACACAGGAAATATTACAAAGAATCAAGTAGGATCTCATCTTATTAAAAAGGTTTTACACAGGAAAAAAAAAACACCAACAGAGCAAAGAGTCAACCCCAAAAAATTTTTGCCAGCTGTTCCTCAAAGGACTACTATCCTGTCTAGAATATATAAAGAACTCAAAAGAATCAGACCCTCCTCCCTAAATTTAAAGACCCAATCCCAAAATGGGCATCTGAAATGAGTAGACACTTGTCAGGTGAAGACGTACAAACAGCAAATAAATATATGAAAAAATGTTCAACATCGCTGGTCATTCAGAGATGCAAATCAAAACAACACTGAGATTTTATCTCTAGAAAGAATGCCTATTATCAAGAAATCTACCAATGGGCCTGGGATTTAGCTCAGTGGTTTCGCCACCTGCTGCGAAAGCTCAAGGACCTGAGTTCCATCCCTAGTACCAAAAAAAGAAAAAAATCTACCAATAAAAATGCTGGCAGGGCTGTGGGGAAAAAGGAACACTTCTGCCCCGTTGGTGGGAGTGTAGACTGGTGCAACTACTGTGGAAATCAGTGTGGAGATTCCTCAAAAAACTAAAATTAGAGTTTCCATTTGACCCAGCTATTCCCCTTCTTAGTATTTTCCCAAAGAATTAAAAGCATCATACCACAGTGATAGATGCACACCCTGTTTATAGAGGCACAGTTTGTAACAGCTAACTCTTGGAAACAGCCCAAATACCAGTGAATGGATAAAGAATATGGGTTTTTAAAAATATATACAATGGAGTACTACTCTGCCATAAAGAATAAGCTAAAGACATTTCTAGCTAAATGAATGCACCTTGAGACCATACTCTTTCAGTGAGATAAATCGGCCACACATGTTTAAATATCATTGTTTATGTGGTGTGAGAAGCTGGAAGTGGAAATGAGCAAAATGTATAATAGATACTGTGAAATAGGAAGAAAATGTTCAAATAAGGGGAATAGGGAAGGGAGGAGGGGGGAAAAGAAAGAAGAGACGAGGAAAAAAGAATAGACGGAAAAAATGGCAACAAAGCTTTTGTAAATGAGGGGAAGGAGGGTTGAGAAGAGGGGAATGAGAAAAAAAAGAATCAAGATATATCATGTACAGGTACAAATTCCCTGTGATAAATATTACGTATATCTAAAATGTACCAATAAATGTTTTCCTTCCCCAAAAAACAAAGCAAAGTACTGTGAGAACAGACACAAACAAATAAATTTAAGAAGTACTGATAAAATTAATGTTAAAAAAGATCCCTGTGTTGCCCCTTTTTTTTCCTAATTCAGTCTAATTCATATACCATAAACTGTACTGTTCAGGTAACTGAGACAATAGGTTAAAAAAAAGCAGATCTGTTTGTCTCATTGTTATTTTATTTCCTTGATTTCAAGGTTGGTGAAGATCTTAGGCAAGATATGTTGGCTTTACAGATGATAAAGATCATGGATAAGATCTGGCTTAAAGAAGGCCTTGACTTGAGGATGGTAATTTTCAGATGTCTCTCAACTGGCAGAGATCGAGGTAAGTCTGTTACCTGTTGCTTGGTACCTTATTTTTTAAATTTTTGAGGAGAGTTTATTGTGTATCTACCTGAAAGATCCTGATGCATATATACTATGGTTTTACTTGTTTCTTGTTTAATTACTGTACTTTTACTGTGCTTGAGATATTGAACCCAGGACCTTGTGTATGCTAGGCAAGCACAATACCACTAAGTTTTACCCCCTCAACCTTTTCTATTTTTTGAGACAGGTTCTCACCAAATTTCCCATGCTGGCCACAAATTTATAATCTTTCTGCCTCAGCTTCCCAATAGCTGGGTTTACAGGCATTCACCATCATGCCAAGTTTTTTCTTATTTTCATCTACTGTTACTTTATTGGTGCAATTGGTCGTGATTAAATCTCTTTAAAAAAATAACTCACTAAGCCAGGCCTGTTGGCACATGGCTATAATCCCAGCACTCAGGAGGCTGAGGCAGGAGATTGCCACAACTTTTTTTTTTTTTTTTTGGTACCGTTCTCTGGGAATACTGAGAATAATTTTGTAAGAGG